TTGTGTTTGATTGAGCCACTAAAAACTTTACATATTATGAAATACCACTTGAAGTTCCCCCCATTTTAAAAATATTTTTATATGCTGTTAATAATGCATTGTCAAGGAGTCTTCTCCTTTAGCCTGGTGTACCTCCACTAAAAAAAGCTATTTTAACATCTAATCCTCTCTGAATTTTGATAATGGAAACTCTGTAATTCTTGTTTCATAAAAAAGAAACTACCTTTACTGAAGCGTGGAAGGCTCTAAACCGGTTAGAGAACAAGACCTTTCCTTTGGTTTTCAACCTATACACATTCAGGCACAGATCTAAATGAGAAGTGCACTCAAGTTTGTATGAACAACATATATTTATGAGGCCTAGGATCATGCTAGATCAGAATCATAGCTGTCTTCACAGGTCCAGCTGTAGGTATGAAAACTGGGCAGAGAAATGAATAAAGCTAGTATGCGTACTCTTCATTATTTAGTTTGAAGGTATTGGTTGAATTTCTGAAGGGAGCCATTCATCTGAACTGCAGACAAAAAACAGAATAGCTAGAAAACAGAATTGAATTCTTAGTAGGCTAAAGCTGCTGGGTAACAAACTGGAAATTTAGAGAGATTTATTGCAAAAAGAATAGCTGAAAGACAAGCCCAACAGAAAGAAGAGATATAGAGACAGAAGGGCTACATATTATTAGCAAATGAGACATTTTGTAATAGTGAACATATTTGGGAAAGATAGCATTCTAGTGTGTTTGATATTAGCCTTATGTTTTTCTTATATTGTGTGAGGATGAATGACAGACAATGTTTATATCCAATCCAACACTTGGATTTCTTGTTCATGATCTTTGCCATTATAGAACATTTCCTCTACTGTCTCTGTATTGTCTGTACTCTATCCTTTTTTATATTTTTATTTTTAAAAGATTACATTTCACCAAAAATTCAGTAAAAAGAAATATGCAAGCTACCAAATTAAAGCTGCATCAATATGCAATATCTGTAGGTTCTGCTATAAATATCAAACTAAGACAGAGGAGGAAAACCTACTCATTTGTACATACCCATTAATGCAGCATATAAAGCAAGAAAGATATATACGATAATGGATAGCACTCTATTCTCAAGGGAATTACATTCTAACAGCATTTCTTCGGTTGAATGAGAAAGTGCAAGACAATGAAAGCAATAGCTTCAAAAAAGAAGTGAAACTAGCAGCCCACTAAATCAAATTTTATTTAAAAGGCAAAATTCTGTTTATAGATAATCTTTAGAAATACAAGGTTTTATGCTTGTTTATTAACACAAATACAATGTACACTAATCAGAAAAGAAAACCACAGCAGAATATTTTAGTTTGCAAGAGAGAAAAGACCAATTCCAGGCATTAAAGTCCTTTTCATTATCTTTCATAGCTAAAATATAGAAACTAAGGTGAAATTATGCAAATATATATTTTAGTTACATTTTAAACGACTATTGTGTGGCTCCAGAAAAGCCCTTTTCCGTGAGATGTTAAGAAAGCTGAAAAGGTCAAGTTTTGTAGAGCCTCCAATCTAAGAACATATATTCAAGCAATTTATTTTTTAAGGAAATAAAAAGATGCATTTGCTCATATTAAGAATCCATCTCCAGTGTGTAGTGATTAAGGTGTTGTCTTAGAAACTATCTGACTGGGAGTTCTAGCCTTCTTCAGCCATGAAAGCCAACTAGGTGACTTTGGGCCAGTCATTCTCTCTCAGCCCAAAGAACCTAATAGGGTTATTGTTGTGAGGGAAAACCAGGCAAGAATATTAAGTACATTCACTACCTTGAAGCAGAATAAAAATATCACCACCACCATCATGCTGTGATATAGCAATCTTTTTCCAATTCACCTGTCTGATATTATGATATAAAGTTTGCCTGTATATGTATAGTTTAAAATCTCAAACTCTTTTTTACACTGAATATACACAGGAAGCCAAGGGAATATATTATTCCATCCTAATATGTAGAAAAAATACAGCCATGATACCACACCTTATTTTCCATCAAAATCTTGCCTCCCAATTAAGATCACTAAAATTCTGGTAATAAAGAGTTAATATCTGCATTAATATATTTGTCAATACTTTCAAATACTAATTGAATACTTTTGCTCTCCAGGCATTTAATTAATGTCCTGTAAAGTAGACATTCTTCTACTTTAAAACTGGATAGTATTTCATTTATTTCTGCTGTTGCCCAGCTTTCGTGATTTCTCTTTTGTGTTTCTATAGTATTTTAATTTAGAAGTCATATTTAAAGAGAATTATCATCACCCTTTCATCCTTGTTCCAAAATAGATAAAATGAATGATGCATTTTAATAAAATCATATATAATGTTATGTTGTTATCTTAACAGTCATATTAAAATAACAATGATTAACAATTAGCATTATATATCCCCACTGTTGCCTTAGTACTATACACTTTGTTATTACATACTGCTCTATATATCATCTGTTTCTCTTGTTGGACTATTCCAATAAGAGACAGACAGCTGCAACACTATTTCCCCATTCACCATAAGGACCATCTGACTCTAATTGTAGTACACAGCTTGATGGGGGTCTGGTTATGAGAAGCCAAAGTATCACAGTGTAATAATCCGGAAGAGCAGAAGCCTGCCAAGCACAGGATTGAAACAGAGGCTTGGGCTGTTTAGTTGGCTGATGAGATGGAGGAAAATATGATTAATGATCAAGGTATAATGATATCAGGAACCCGATTAGCACCACAAAAAGGTCACAGATCAAAGCAGTATGCATTTCCAATCACTGCAGAAAAATCTGTACTGTGTATTGAAAGAGGAAAAAGTGCCCATTGTACCCTACAAAATTACCACTTAAAAGGACCATAATAATTTATAATTATCTCATTAATTGCAAAGATAAATATATGAGCATTCTATTTTTGAAATAGATTTAGGAGTTAATGTGTTTTGGTCAAAATATTACTTTTTTAGAAAGATATTTTTCTTACTTGCATTTTTGTAATCAGACAACATTAATATCTATATAATATTAAAACTAAATACTCAACATGTAATTATTTAGACTATATTTTCAGGATGTTATTTGGAAAATGCTTAGGTACATATGTATAGTTGTCACTTTGGTAATAGCTATGTATACTTGTATAAAATGTATAAAAAGCAAGCTAAATTATACACCATAAATATACTGTTCACATTCATTTCTATCAATATCTTGCTTTTTTCTGTATTTTGGAGTTTAACATCGATGTTGTATAGATAGTGATTTAATATAGATCTGCTTTGTTTCAGTAAAATGGTGAATATCATTCTTACATTGGAACACAACATTTTTGAAATATTTGTATAGTGAATTGTGTGGAATTCATTATATAATTACAAAGAGAAACTTTGCATTGTTGATTTCTGAGGATTGCTTCCCTAAATAGATACTATCATTGGCCAAGATATGACAGCAGGATAAAAGGGAGAGAAATGAAGTACTCCAGAATCCATACAAGTCAGAAATTGTGAAGTATTGTATATGCAAGAAAGAACCATTCTCACATGTTGCTATATTCCTAGTTTCAGTTCTAGTTTTGATCCTTTTCTTGGTGGTCCCAACTGGGCACAAACCTACTTATGAATCTCCTTGTCCTGAAGCAGGAAAATAGAAAATATTATCCCATATGGACTCCTGAAATCCCTTAGATACCAGAACATGATGTTAAACTCTAGTGTCAAATTACTAAATTTTGATAGCACATATTTTCCCAAAATACTAATGGTGGGAATGGGGAGTTTTATATGAACCCAACCACTTCAATCTTGAAACTGAACCCTCTTCCAACCATCTGAACTGCCTTGAAAGAATATTTTAAGGATTTGGATGAGAGGTTTTCTGCTCACATTATATTCTTCCAAATTAATACATCAGTATACTCCCTTGCCAAAAAAGAAATTTGATTCTCAAAAAAAGAAAAAAAAAACCTTCTTCCATACCACTTATTTGAGGAATTCATTTGTTTTTACTGTTTCTTTTCCATATTTACATTAGTTTTCTTAAAAATATGTTTGCATGTATCTATATACTGTATGCTTTAAATAAAATCTTAAAATATGGTTCCATTATTTTTTTTCTTAAGCGGCAGTATAATACCTAATGAGTTATGTAAAAATATGTACATTTTAAGTAACTTCCACTATTCTACTAGAGACTTAAATAATTTTAATGATAGCTAAATTCTGGGAAGCCAAAAAGGTATCATAAGTAATCTAAATGTTGAATTGAAAAGTATTAGGAAGAAATACTATGAAGATAATTACATTAAAACATAAAGCTCATATCATTTTAGTGATATGATTAAAAATAAGCATCAACATTTAAATTAAAAATAAACGTAAAACTTTAGAGCAGAGGTCCCCAACCTTTCCAGTGTGGCGGCCCAGAGGGAAAGGGAGGAGCAGGCAAATTTGCGCCTGAGCATGTGCAAACCGACTGCACGCACCACGGCAGCACTAGCACCCGTGTGCATGCACAAACGGAGCCATGCACACCTGCAGCGGGCCTAGAGCCTGCATGCATGTGCAAATGGTCTGCTAGCGCCTGCGCAACATTGGCAGTGGCACTAGCACTCTGCGCAAATGGGACTGCTAGCACCTGCACGCATGTGCAAACGGGGCTACTAGCTCCCACGTGCATGAGAAAATGGGGCTGCTAGTGTCCGTGCGGCAGCTATCCCCCTCACAGTGGTGCTAGCGCAAGTGGGAGGAAGTGCATGTAGACATGCGTGCACTCACCAGCCGTTCCCGCAGCCCAGTGGCCATAAGGCCATGGATCGGTACTGCATCGTGGCCCATAGGTTGGGGAACCCTGCTTTAGATATTCCCAGTCTTCTAAAATAGCTGTTTTCATTCCAAATTATATAAATTCCAGCTTTGCATGGTTAAAAATGACATTTTTTTAAAGAAAGCTCATATCTTAACACAATTAATAGTTGCTTGTTATCTTACCAGTCTATTTATGCGAACAAATTCTTCTGGGGTTTTGGCCCATGATGGAAGTTCAACATCAGAGACCACTGTTCCATCATCCATCACTCCAAGATTGTAATTATTGAAATTGACAAACATCTCAGGTAGATAATAAAATTCAGGAACAAGCTCCTATATGGAAATGAAAACCAGTGACATGTAATAAATTGGGTTATCATAGAAGTCACTCACTTAAAAGAGATAGTGGATGCAATAGAAAGTACCTTCATTTTGTATATATAATATTTTCACTTTACATGTATTAAATTTTTGCAGAAACTTGCTCATAGTGGTAAATAAACGCAATATTTGAAATGTTGAATGAAAGAATAGTAGTTATGATTAAGTGTCTAAACAGTTTAATCTGAGATTAAAGCACTAAATCTTAGTATTTTTAAAAATAATGGAAGCTATAACATTTAAACTCATAATATATTTAACTTGTTTTTAAAAATGTCATGTTTAGAAACATTAAATACTCACTAAATTAAAATATATTGTAAAATGTGTAGCATTATATTCTGCATCTGATTCCAAAATCAGGTTCAGAAAAATGTGTCTAAATAATCAGCTCACATTCCCTGAATAATTTAAGCTACTTGATACTCTTATGTTTGCCATATCTATGTAAGCAGCACTGAGTAACATACTCAACTTGGCAACAGAATGTTTACAAGATGCATTGATATTATGCATACAGCAATAAAGTATTGCATTCTTAGAGTGTAGCTGGAGCTTAAAGGTGGCACCGATTTTTAGGAAAATTGGCTACTGCAATGATGATGATGATGATGATGATGATGATGATGATGATGATGATGATGATGATGATGATGATGATGATGATGATAATAATAATAATAATAATAATAATAATAATAATAATAATAATAATAATAATAATAATAATAATAATGGTAAAGTTGGAAGGGACCTTGGAGGTCATCTAGTCCAACCCCCTGCTCAGGCAGGAAACCCTATACCATTTTGGACAAATGGCTGTCCAGTTTCTTCTTAAAAACTTCCAGTATTGGAGCATTCACTGCTTCTGGAGGCAGGTTGTTCCACTGGTTAATTGTTCTAACTGTCAGGAAGTTTCTCCTTAGTTCTAGGTTGCTTCTCTCTTTGGTTAGTTTCCACCCGTTGCTTCTTGTCCTGCCTTCAGGCGCTTTGGAAAATAGCTTGACTCCCTCTTCTTTGTGGCAGCCCCTGAGATATTGGAACACTGC